TTTTGGCATTAGTTTTTTTAAATGCTTTTTCAAGATGATAATATCCAATAGTTTTATATTTACTGTACTTAAATTTTGAATTTACTGTAATCTACTTTGAGCCGGCTTGGTCGCAGTATTATAATCCAATTAGAAACCGTTAGAATAAATAATTTAAATCCTTTAAGTGTGGCTTTATGTTACAGGATTGAAATGCAATTCAATAAAAAGGCGTTGTCTTCTAGTATATTCCTTTATTTAGACCGAAACGGGTTGAGCAAAGGTGAAAAATGAACGAATATGCAGGAAGACAACGTCTTTTTAATTAAATTAAATAATTTAAATTATATGAAAACCTGAGCGACATACAAGTAGGATTAAATTTTTAAAAGTATATATCATATTTTTTTTTGTATAAATGAGAAGGTTTTAAAAATAGATTTGAGCGTTAACAAATTCTGGAAACTCTCTTATCACAATGCAATTACCGGGTTATTATACAAATGCTAGGCTTTTTATCTGTTTGTACTTTAAAACTGTCCCTTCGTCAAAAGGCAGAGAATGTTAGATGAAAATAAAAGTCATTAATATGTAAACTTACAGACAACAAGGAAAATTCGCATTTCTGCATAATAACCACTGATGTTATGATAAAAGAAAATTCAAATATTTACCTAATATAATACACCAATTGTCTGAATAAATCACGTTAGCCTATTGAAAAATAAACTGCCTGTATTAATTAAGTTGAGTTTACATTAGTAAAATTAGGAATCGGCCTAAATATTTTTAATCAGTCAGGAATGAATCTCAACTTACTTTGTAAGAAACCACAACTTAATTAATATAGACTTAAAGCTCATCAACCAAGGATGTTTTTCTGAAAATGTGGTGTCTTCAATTTTATCATAAAGATCTATAGGGTCATTTTCATTGAGATTTTGAATTAATTTAATATTAAACAATCTTTGTAAAAAAACTCATAGTTTTTGAGATATTCTCAAAATACTAAAAAAATATAAGTTTCTTGTCCTTTCCCTCCCTCCCCCATCAAAACTCGAGGCGGGATTCTTTGGGACTTTTTACCAGTTATTATGGGGAGGGTAATGAACAATTTCTGGCAAGTTTCATCTTTATTTTTTTGATGTTGGGGTAAGGCTGTTTTTTCCCTAACTTTACTGGGTTTATTGTCAAATAGACAGAATGTTATATTACTCAATAATTTTTTTTTTTTTTTGTTGTTGTTGTTTATTGATAAATATTACAATCTGTCTCAATAAAGGACATTTATAATAGAGTTCTGAGAGCACATTCACATCATATTTACAAATTAAAAAAAAAAAATAAATAAAAAAAATAAGCTAACTTCAAATAATATAAAGCTACAAAAGAACAAAATAAAATATCATAGTGAGAAAAAAAAAAAAAGTAATGAAAATAAACATCTTAGACGCAGGCATACCTATTACACTATTTACAGTCGGCCATAGGAACTCCGAACCATACTTATCCCCCCACACGTGGAGGGAAAGCAAGGCTTCAGGAGATCCCTGCGCTTCTTCCTCAACCATTTCACTGGCATTGAAAGCCAGCGGAGATTGAGTATCTCAATAAATTAAAAAAAAAAAAAAATATATATATATATATATATATATATATATTTACTATTTTTTTACTTAGACATTGTAAATCGCTAAGATTAGTTATGTTAATGCATAAATTATACTAAAACCTCGCCAAAGTGCCTTAGACATTAGGCAATGATGTCACATCCCCCCTTCCCATAAAAAAATTAAATATATTTCTTATGTTGTTTTAAGTTTAAGTAATATTTCAATTTTATATCATTTAATATTTTCTCTATTACAGTTGCTTTATTGATAGGTAAAATTAATTATTTTAATATATCTCGAAACTCTTTTTCTAATTTCTAATAAATGGCGAGCGCCCTCAATAGATTGGCGCCCCCAATAGGCGTCCCTCTTAAGGCCGCCAGTCTGACAGACGAACATAATTTTGTTTTATAATTCTAAAAGTAATAATAATTGAATTTTTTTCTCACTATCGCGCTGTTAGCCATAGAGTTAATAATATTATGTATACAAAAAATATACGTTTCTATTTATCTATCTAGTTTAAATATTATTAAAAAACATTAAAAGGAGAAAGAAGACCTACTAGTAAATATTTTTTTATTCAATGGCTGAATAAATACTTTATTAAATATGTTAGTAATATGTTTGTTATATGTAAAATTAAAAATTCATAAAACATTATAATATTTTAACAAATCACTAGTTCGACAATAAGTTCTTATAGGTCTTCACTATACAAAAGTAAAGGCCCAACTTTCCAATGTGACCAACTTACGTGGAAAGTAGAATTCACGTAAAGTTCAGTTTCATTATAACATGTTACTTTATTAAGTTATGAAACAATATAATACTTTTATCATTGTTAAAGATAACAGTGCTTTTTCATTCATAAAAACGGCTAAAATGATCTGATTCCCAAATTAAGTTATAAAATCAGATGATTATCTAATCGATTTTTATTTTGTTAGAACCCATGATTAAAAAAATAAATTTCTGATTATTTATTAAATAGTTAACGTATAAATACGTGCAACCAGTTGAAATGCTTCGATTTTATAAAAATAAAAAGACACCTTTCAACTAACAAAATGTCATCAAAAAATATCGTTCACTATGAACATATTTATTTACTACTATTAAAAAAAAAACAAATAAAATAAGTAACTGTTAAAAATCAACTATTTTCATTATTCACTTACAGTTCATCGTGGGTGATGAAATGAATGAACTAAATTTTAATATAATTTATATATATATATATATATATATATATATATATATATTATTTTTATTTTAATAATTACATTAATAAATAATATTTTTTATAAATTTAGAAATAGGATTCACCGGAACGATGGCGGCCAATGTTTAGCTAAAAAAGCAATAAGAAGAATATATTATTTTATAAAAGTTACCAGCACTTAAGACTATAAAAAAGGAAAAAAACATTAAACAGATTCATGTTTTTCGTATTATTAATAATATTATTGTAAACACGATAACAAAAAAAACAAAAAAAAACACGATTTAAGTAGTAAGACACATCTACTAAAAATCTTAACCTTGACGAAAGATGGATTCTCCAATATGGCAATGCCTGTCAGCATTCATTAATTTTCGAATCTATTGTTTCTAATTGAAAGATCTCTATTGTAATGATGCAGCAGTATACTTGTATCGTTCAGGAGTATTTACGAAACAAAATATATAAAATAGATGAATACAGGAATTTATTTATTAATACAAAAACAATTCTTAACGTGAACTAAATTCAAATACATAATAAAAGCCTTTTCAGGCAATGCTTCCGGGACATATTCAGTAGGAACTTATTGATATAATATTAGCGTTTAATAATATCTATTTTTTATTATTATTTTTCGTGCTGATTATTTTTTTTTTTTAATACAGTTTTACCAATTATGTGAACATTTACTTCATTAAGGTCAGAGAAATAGGAGTCCCGATCCAGAGGCCGTTAAAAACCAATTGCTACTAAAACGAAATAATAAAAAATACCGGTAAAGAGCAATGTTTTAAAAACAAAAATATATTGCCAATTTCAGGTGCTATTAATTGAAATTAATATTCGTAAAAACAATAATAATCAAATGTATGCAATTTTAAATTTTTTTCATAGGATCATTTATAGCTTTCTCACATTTAAAAATAATTGACTTTTTAAAACAGATAATTCAAGAAAAATAAAGCAAATGGAAAAAATAGCTATAGAGAGAAATTAAAAATGTATCAATTCCTTGTCTTAGTGAAATAATGAGTACTTTTTGATAGAGAACATATACGTTAAATACATGCGTACTTGAAACATTTTCATATACACAAGTGATCTGAAATATATTTCTTTACACCTATTACAACATAAAAAAAAGACTTAAATATTGATTCAATGTTTAGATAATGATGACATGAAATGTAGGTCAATAAACATAATAGTAATAGTAGGTCAATAAAATACTCATTCCATGGCTTCATAGCCTTAATTATTAATTAATACATATATGTATTAATTATAGTTAATGTATAATATAATGTATATGTACATTCGCATCAGTACATATAAAATATTATCCATTTATCGATAAAAATGTTAGGCTCTGATAAGAAACGTTTGGTTTCGGTCTAATAAATAATAAAAAATTAAGAAAAATATACATCGTTGATTTAATGCAAAAAGTTTAGGTTTTTGTGAATTGATAAAAAAAAAAAAAAACAGTAACATAACACCAAATAACAAACCCTTTTATATATTAATTATAGTTACAACAAGCGTAAAGTTTTCTGATTTCATAAATTGAAAATTCATCAATGTTCTCGGTGTTTTAAAGCTATAAAAATTTCACTTGGTGAATTTTTTTAATAAATCAACGATATGTAAAAATATATATATATATATATATATATATATACAGAGGAACTAGAAAACTATTTGCATGTATTTGAAACTTTAGTGCAAAATATAAATTATGAAATGTATTCCTCTACATTAAATGAGTCATAACAAGTTGTAATCGGTTTTAAACGCATAATCTGTTTTAATAATTTAATCTGTTTTAATAATTTAATCTGAGGATGAGAAATTACTCAAATTATTTAAGATGCTTTTAAGAACATATTTTCCTGACCCTATTCCTATCTCATCTATTTTCGTTCCAATCGATATTTTCTCTATTGGACCTTTATCTCATTTTTGTAATTACCTAACTTTGCTCTATAAAATGTTATACATCTTATGATTGGTTAAATATTTCGGAACTACGTTTGTATTTACATTACTGACTTAAAAATCGATTATGTCGTTTTCAAAAGTTATATAAAATGGCCAAAGAGAAATTATACCTAAATCGCGATATGAGCAGTTGAGTGGATAGTATGAAGTGTGCACCGAGATGGAGGAAATGAACTCACCTAGCGAAGCTAACGGCTGCTCCTTCAAGACTGAGCTACGTACGCGAGGTGGAGGGGGAACTGATAGCAACATGTTGCGCTTTTCATTACTATCTCATTATCCTGCTATATTTTTAAATGGTCAACAGACCGTTCAAGAGGTTGTTGTATAAAGAACCATTGTTTAAATAAGCGATGAGTCAAAATTAGCATCGATACAGAATCGATTGATAACGATCCGGAAAAGTAAGGTAGGATATTCATAAAGGAAGGAGATGGTCCGGGGTGGCGGTCATAAATAGGCTAAATAGTGGCAAAACTATTTTTTTATACACCAACGTTTCGAACCGATTTTACAGGTCTTCTTCAGGGCTAGAACGGACAAGATACAAAAAGATAGAAAATTGTGGAAGTTACATAATATTTAGACAAAAAGTAATAAACAATATGAATAAGCTTATTAAAATTATAAACAGTAAGTACATTAAAATATGAACAGAGTAAGCTAAGTAACAAGATCCTAAACTGAAGTAAATAGGTGGTAACAATTGTTGTAGTGTAACATATAATATATACAAATGTGAATATACTTCTACAGATCTACAGGAGAGATCGAAACAAAAGGAAAAAGGATATAATATGAAATAATAGGCATAAAGGAATGTGGAGAAAGAAAAGAAAAAAGAAAACCAAATAAATAAATAAGAAAATAAAATTAGAAGAATAAAATTAGAGATTTACAGGTGTGTTCAGCTAGGAGTTTCACTTAGACCTGTAAAACCAGGGTAAGGGCAAGTATTGGAGAATTTGATGACTTGTTTCCGTAATGGAAAAAAATCTGGAAAATTACAGTATCTAAAATTTGAAGATATGGATGGATACAAGGGAAAAATACTATATCTATGAAATATTAACCCCCTCCCCCCGGACCATCTCCTTTCTTTATAATGCAACGGTCAACTATTAAATATTCAATAGGATATTCATGTTTTCTTTATACTAACCCACAATATAACTATATGTTTACGTTTAAGGGGATTATTATTTTGTATGCGTGTCAATACTTGCCCTTGGTGCAGACCAATTTTACCAAATTGTTAGCATCCGGCTGAAACTTCGTGAATAGCTTCATCTCATCGTAATCTACAAATATTTTATTTACGAAAATTCTCGGAATTGGGGCGCTTTCAATCTGGAGCTCAGCAAACTTTGTCGATATAATTAGGCACTAACAGTTCGTAAATACTCAATTCTTTTCCACTTAGATCGATAGATAATTCGATCACAAAACCGAGAAAAAAAATGGCCTGCACAAATATTGTGTAATTGGCCTATATAACCTCGTTATTTTGACATTTTGGGAGCGTAGGTCACGCCAAACGACTCAATATTTTTGCAGGCCACCTTCTTTCTCGATTTTGTGTTCAAATTATCTTACGATACAAGTGGAAAGCAAATGAGTATATATGAGTTTTTAAATAGACAAAATGTTTAAATGTAAATAGACAAAGTTTGCTGGTCGTCAGATGGAAAACGCCCCAATTTTCGTAAATAAAATAGTTGTAGGTTACGATGGGAAGAAGCTATTTATGAAGTTTCAGGCGGATGTCAATAATTTGATAAAAAGGGGTCTGTACCACGGACTATTATTAATTCTATTCCAAACAAAAATGGTTTTTTATCCTCTGTAGAATTCACCTGTTGGAAATAATTAAGTCAATACTAATATGTCAAAGCGTGATTTTCGCATAACTTCTTTTTAGAAGTTTAAGCTCGGTTTAGTCAGATCACAAAATAACACAAACATTAATGAAGTCTGGAGCAAAAGCAGCGTGAGTGCTCAATTCAACGATGGTTTAAAATAAATAAATAAATAAATAAATAAATAAATATATATATATAGTGACTCCAGCCTTGAAAAAAATAATGGTCACCGATTAAATATTTGATCAGAGGTGTCCAGAAGGGGGTTTCATGGTGCAAGTTGCGTCATCAAAAGTTTTGATGGGAAGAAGTACATTTCGACGAGGCTATGAATTTTCGGAGTGAAAAGTTTCAAACCAGAGAACTAGGAGGAAAACATGGGACAGACCACAGCAACTGTAATTGTATATGATCTACGATTTGTCTTATCTTACTTTCGCTTTTGTTTTTTTTTATAATGATTTTATGTAGTATTAATACAATCTGTCATATAGAAGGGCATTGGTACTAGAGCTATAGTATTCATTCACACAATATGTACATAAGATATAAGATAGGAAAATATATATAAATTACTAAAGTAAAAAATATATATTTATGGATAAATAAAAAGATAAAGTAATATACAAGATGAATAAAATAACAGATTTAAGCCTAATGATAATAAAATAAATAAAACACATTCACACCTATGTACAATATTTGCATTGGCCCCAGAGATTTGGTGAATCAAGCTTTGCCTCCCAAATGTGGAAGCCAAAGTAAGTATCCAGGAAATCCCAATGCTTCTTTCCCAGCCGCAACAGTGGTATTGGAAGCCAGTGGAGACTGATGGAGGGCACTGGAGGTCACCACAGATGCTCTGGACTTGAGTGAAGAATCTGGCTAGTACAACTACATTATATACATATTTACAAATGGTCGCAAGGTCACTGCCGTTTTAACGATCGAGGAGGATTGTAGAGATAGCTGGAGGTAGATAGAGATTGTGCAACAGGATTAGGATGATGAGTGAGGTTCTAGTGAAATTTGAGAAAATTGTCTGGGACTAGGTCAAGTACAAATGGGATATTAAGGTCATTGTGTAGGGTTTTATTGGTTACATAAAAGAGAGCATCGACAATTGTTCGATGAACTTCAGACTGGAAGGATTGAATGCGTTTGATGTTAGAACGTTTTGCTGTCCCCCACAGCTCGAGTCCGTAGGTCCAGATAGGTTTAGGATAGTCTTGTAGAACACCTAACTCACAATTGTATTGATCTGAAGTGTTAAAAAATATTATTCAATTAGTCATTTTGTACTAGTCGCGTCCAATGACTGAAAGATTATTCATTAGCAATGATTATTTTTCTGTAAATAATAAATAAGTTGTCAATCATGATTCGGATAATTTTCCCGAAATGTGAAACCCTGGATAGGGAGGAAAAAAACTCATTCAGAATAGCCTTTATAATTTAAGTAGTATATGAAAAGAGATGCGTGAATTTTTAATTTATTAACTGTTAAGATAATGTCAAGACGGGTGTGATTAACATAGAACTGTCAAGAGCATAGTACTATGACGCTCGAGTAAAAATTATAATTCTCTCAAGATAATATCGCCACATAACAGGCATTGGGCGTCAAAATGTAAAAAAATTAGTTGTAAAAGTTACAAAGCTTTTCAATCCTAAGAAAATTGTTAAAACTGCTTATTTTTTTAATCTATAAATCCGAATAAAATTAAATTGTTCTATTAACTAATAAAATAAACATCATACCGCAAAATCAGTTCTTTAAAATTTAAAATTAATTAAGACAAAGCGTAAGCAATAAATAACCATAAAGAAAAAATAAATGCTCATTACAAATATATATATATATATATATATATATATATATATATATATATATATATATTATATATATATATATATATATATATATATATATATATTTAATGACCTAACGCAAGAGGAGAGGGGGTTCCAGACAGAATATCCAACAAAATATGTCACTTGATGCATGGACCAATTGGGGCGAAAAAGGAGTTAACATTTTTGTTCTTCTTAAAGTGGTTTTTATTCAATAAGAAGAAATCGCTCAAAAGCTGTTAAAGATAATTGAATTCTAAGTACACCATCGTAATAATAATAAATAATAATAAAAGGCTTAGCGAACCCGAAGGTTCGATGCCGACACCACCAATCGCTTATTACACACCTCCCTTCACCGTTTGCCGTCCAAACCCAGTCCCTTCAGATCGGCTTTAATGCAATCTTCCCACCTTCGCTTCGGTCTACCCCTCGGACGCTTACCATTCGGCACAGCAAATATTAACCTTTCTAGGAATTCTCTCGTTACTAAGCCCAACAACTTTACAAGCCCATTTGATTCGCCGCGATGAAATTACCTCAATTATATTACCCGGATACAGCTCACGCAATTCGGCGTTGTGTAACCGTCTGAACTCTCTGGTTAACTCATCCTTCTTCGGTCCAAATATTCTACGCAATAAGTACACCATCGTAAAGAAGACAAAAACGTCCTCGAAAAAACAGTGATTAAATTGTCCGGTATCAATGATAAAAGGGACATTCAGAAAGTCTAATAACGAAAAGCCTACCATTATGCCAAGTTATTTCACGAATCGGGATTAAAGAAATATGCTTATGTTTTTTTAAGAGACCTATAAGTCTCTTTTATCATCACCGTGGTAAATTTAATCACTGTTTAAAAAAAAAAAAAAAAAAAAAAAAATTGTCTTCTGTGGTGTACTTGGAATTTAATTATCTTGATATCTTGATCAGTTTTTTAGCAATTCATTCCTTTTCAATAAAGACTGTGTCCAACTTCATTTAAACTCGAAGTACAGACAAAGCTTAGTAAAATCACCGCACAATTGGTGCGGGTAGCGCTTCTCGGTATGAAGACGTTTTGTTGCTATTGGAATTTCAAATAATGTTTTATGAAGTATCTGAATTGTATGAAATCTTGTTTCTTGTAATTAAGGTATCTCCTTCACCACCTAAAACGTTTGTCTATTTGCTACAGATAATATATTGCTTTTTTAAGTTAGGAGACGCTTTCTTCACGGTTTCTATAGTGCATTATCGCATTTATGTTTGTAACATGAATAAATAATAACTCTTGTAGCTGATTATTTGAAGATTTCTTCGAATGATAAGTCTTCTCCAAGCTCCTTCCATGGTATCACTCCCTGTGATTTAGAGATTATATTAATGTCTAGCCTAGAGCCCCCCGTCACGGAGGCACCTATAGGTCTGAGAAATGGTTCCCCCTTGCTCGCCTCCTCAAGATCCAAAGACTGGTTCGCTCTGCTTCTTTTAAAAACGTTTGAAGGTT